TTCTATCGAAAGTCTGTAATTGGCTCAAGCTACATTTTAGAGTTGTCAAAGATATTTCCAAGTGTCATTTACGGTAAATAATGCAATGCATAGTTTAGCATAAGTCATAAATAAATAAAGCAACGGTTAAAAGCTTCGTAGATTTTTCAGAATCATACGGCTAAACTCGTTAGCTACAAGTGAAGCAGCGAAGTATTTTCAGCGTCAGGTATTGAGTCTCTGGCGACTGGAAGGGCATAGCGTCTTTAGCTTAGTCGAGATATTGAGTTCTCACAGGCTGTACTTCGTGGGGGGGTCGAATGGTTGTATCGAGTCTCCATCCGTGACCAATCAGAATAATGCTTTCCAGTGTCATAGGTCGCTGCAGTTGTATTATATGTAAAGATCCAAGCGCAGAAACGCGAACTTCAAAAGCCATTGAAATTAACGGATTTCTCACTGTCTTGTTCTGTTGGGTTTAATGCCCATTCTGTTGAAAGAAATATCGCATCTTAAAAGCTGAACAGACAGCGAGGATATATTTATGTGCTTATGAATAAATACAATATATTATTGAACATATAATAGCCTTAGTCAGATAAAGAAATGCGAAGTCATAATGGAAGGATACCAGAAAAAAATTAAAATAAAAGCCCCCCTTTCTCCACATTGCTCTAATTGCTGTGCAGCAGCCCGGAGCCAGACTGCTTGCTCTCTTCTCTAATGCCTGAAAAATGGCTGCTGAGCGTTGAATTTAAAACAAGGAGTGAATAATCAACGACTGATCTGAAGTTGGAGTGAATAACATTGAAAATTAATAGATCAATGTGGGATTTGGGGTGGTAGATATTTAAATAAATAAGAAACTATAATTTGTTGTTTTTAGCATAGTTTGTGTGGGACACAGTTACGTCACATTGGGGTTTTTATGAGAAGTTGAGAACTGATTGTTATTATTTCATTGCATTGTGAATTTCGTGGTATTTGTCATTAACTGAGAATTGTACTTAATTATATTTTAGAGGAATTTAATTACATACGGTAACGTTGAGGGAAAGTAAAAAGAGGTTTTACTGAGTATATAAAGTACATTGAGGTTAAGGTTTGATTCACATTAAATATAATAGTGGATTATTCCACCTAGATTGGACATAGAAAGAGGAGAATTTGTTAAACATTAGATAACCCTTGTTTCTCTGAGAAGAGAAGACATTCTATTCTAAAAGGAGCTGACACATGGTGTCTCTTCACTTGTACACTTGAGGGGTCAGAGTTCATATGGTGAGGGATTCCATGAGTGATATGCGCCGGCCTGTGCCTTTACCTTGGACTTCTAATAGAACTGCTCGGGTCTTGATAGATTGAGTGGGGAAGTTCATGAGATCTTTCTAGAGGGTTATCAAGAATAACTTTTATCCAATGACCTTTCCCCTCTCTGTCTGTGTCTGTGTATTCTCTTGTTCCGATTAACCCAGCCAAATCTTTTTTCTTATTTTGTATCTATATCTACGCCGGGATCCGGAGTCGAGGCTGATCTTCTTGCTGTAGTCCTGTGTCTTGGATCCTCTATCCTGAGTTCTGGATTAAGTCCTGGACGTTTCGGGTCGTGGCTGAACCTGTCTCTGCGGTCCTGCCTTGGGTCTCGTCATGCTGCTTCCCTGATGG